TTAAAAAAAAAAAAAAGGAAAAGGAGAGAAAAACACCATCTTTTTCTTTCTTTTCTTTTTTTTTCTGGTACCAAGGATTGAACTCAGGACCTTGCGCTAGCCAGGCAGGCACTTAAGCCCTTGAGCTATCTCCCCAGCCCTGGAAAAGCACTATCTGAAAACAGACAAAGGTTATCTAAAACTACAATCAACAAAAGCAAACAGAATAAACATATTTAAATTCATTCTTTAGTACAACAAATTTTATTAGTGATAAATAAACATAAAGTTCTTGCAGTTTAAAAACAAACTAAGGAAAACCCGTCTGAATGCTAAGTCTCTCTAAAGGAATATCTAAGCAGTAAAAACTACAAGTCAATGGTTTTTTTTAGTAAATTTTGCAGACATAATGATTACATTCATCTCAAGGAGCTGGTACATGTACACAACCCATTTTAATTCTTCTTACTTCTCCTTCCACTCCCTCCCCTTCTGGCTAGTTTTCCCTCTACCCTCCCCACCACCTCCTCTTTTTTCCCCTATTACCTATCTTTTATTTTGCTCTTGATTTATATTTTGGGTTTCCCATCTTTATTTTTTTTTTTTCATTTTTTAAAATTTTATTTTAAGGAGTAAAGACAAATAGAAACAAAGACAAAAACAGAGTAACAAGTGACAGTACAAATGGTACATTCAAAGTAAGAATAAAAATTTAACAATGGTTGTTATATTACATATTTTTTTCAAATCTGTTGCTCGGATTAATAGACACAGGTATGTACAATAGGCAAGTAATTAAACATGAATGTTTACTTTCAATAAACTTTAATTTTTTTAATTTTTTTCTTATACTTTATGTTTTTTAATTTTATTTTTGTATTTATTTTTTTATTGAGAAATAAATATGAATGAGACAGTTTCACAGCTGATTAGTAGGACAGTTTTGATAGTCAATACACTGTACATTGTTATCTTCTTAGTGGTTATCCACAGTACAAGAAGCAGACAGGATATTCTGTCCAAACACTGTTAGTACACCTCTTTCTTCTCGTTGAGTTAAGCAAAAGTAGCTGTAAATTTATCTGAACTATTTTGCATATATAAATACAAAATGATCTTTCCTTTGTATCTTTTTTTTTTAATTTTATTTATTTATTTATTTTTGTCCTGTCAGAGGTGAATATTCTATTGGCATCTAAATACTATAGGTGTTTGAATTCAACTAAACAATCTAACACTGTCTAGCAGTCTATAATAT